AAGACGTCGGGCTTGGCCATGTAATTAATCACGTGGGATTGCGTACTTAGCAATGCCCGTTATATAATTCGGGGTTGCCCTCCATTGGAAGGGCAGAATTCAGTTCTTCTTTCCTTTCGTTTCCGGCGGGGAGACATGAAACCCTAATAGCTATCCTACGTCTTTCCATTCCCTATACCGATAGCGGAGCGTCAATGGCGCTAGGCAGTCACAGTCTATTTGGGCGTTAACGTCGCAACGTTTATTTTAGGGCCAATAAACCCCCAAATAAATCGTTTTCCAATAAAAACCTGGAAAAAAATAGCGACTAAAATAGCCGTAGAAGCCAATTCCAATTCGGTCTTCGAATTCTTCTTTTTCTATCACAATTATGGACCATTTGCATACGTATTACGTATTTCCCCGCAATCCGGGCCTTTACGCAACGTTGTCCTTTCCTTCCAGGTGGAATACGCTGCCCCCCCACTCATCAAGGCATCTCGGACCTTCTCGCGTTCTCAACTCAGAAAGCTGGTGGTGGCGAACGATGGGCACCGAGAATCTATCGACGAAACTCATATCTATATCGGGAGACTGGACAAAGCTAGTCTCGATTTTATTTCTATCAAGCTCGAAATCCTGGCCTATAATAACGCGGCCAGCCCACCTAGTCGGAAAAAAGTACTCGGTCGACGACGCTTTTTGTAAAATCGGAACGCGAATCGTTAGAAAGGCGTCACGATTGGCTTAGAGCAATAAAGAAACCCGATCCCGGTGTAGATTAGTGATGGACACAATGAAGACCCCGTCATCACCGATGCTGGAGTCGCTGGTGGTAAGTGAAATGGCATTGGCGGTTTGCGACGAGAAAGCCAGCGGATCCATGATGACTGGGCACTCATGAGGAAGCGAATGGGCAACGGCGATGACCACGATCATGCAGCAAGTGAGATTCATAACGACTCGAGCTTCGCAATCGGTGGATTGGAACGAAGAACAACGACAACACGCGGCCTAAGGCCATGTTGCCGCAGTCTGGCGGGCCTCAATAGGACGCACCGAGCCTCATTAGGACGCATCTGAATGCGGCTATCTCCGCCGCAACTAACTGTCATGTGCGGACAGACACGGGAGGCACGCTTTGAGTGGCCATGCACCAGGGCGGTCTACACCAACGATCGGCGCCGGTGCGAAGGAGCTTGCGATGAAGCATTTTCTGTCACAGGTATTCTCTTCCAGGAGAACCTCAGAAGTACTTGATGGTCATACAGCAGTAGAAGGCTTGCGAAAGCACCTGTATTACCCGCGCGCTTCACACATAATGTGTTCAATGCTACGTTCGCCTCTATCACAGGCTTTCTAAGGAAGGAGGACAAGAATTATGCAGATGTTTCGAAATCAGGCACAGGTAGATCGATCAAAATCTGTCTGAAGAAACAAGGAGTCCTAGCCCACTAGCACGCTTCGCGTAATCAGTCGTCAGAGGGACCGCGAAAACCACCGCATCTGACCTCCTTTGCATTAGCAGTGGATTTCGCAAGCAACCTTCAGAACGTTGTCTCCTCGAGAGCGCATCCGGCCCCTGTCAAACTTTTCCGGAGCTCATTTAAGTCTTCTTTTGTAGAGTCTAGGCGCTTTCCGTAACCTTCGGTCATAAAGGTAAACCACTCTTCAACGAGCTTCGTTGTCCGGAACTTCTCAACCTCCTTCCGCAATTCTGTGCGGAAGTTTTCGATGTTCGTCGTCAATTGGTGTTGTGTGTTCAAAGTTCCAATTGACGAATTTCAATACCCGCGAGCTCTTTTTTGGTTTGGCCCTGCAACTTGCTCAATTTGTCCTGCAGTGAGTTGAATTGTTTCTCCAGTTTCACGCTTGGTTGTTCGTAGCTGAGGTTTAAGCGAGGCTTTTTGGATCGTCGTGGGCTATTATCTCCTGGGCCGTGTAAGAGGAAGCCCAAGAGAAGAGGCAAGTAACTTACCTATACTTGACCTAGACTGTTCTCTATCGTCTTTCCTTTTGGTGCTGCCACCAGAGCCAATATTCGGTCTGCTCTTCTGTAGTGGTGGCACCAAGACTCTCACGCCATCGCTCTCCGAAAAAGCCGCCACCTCTACGACATCGTCGTCGGTGGAGTCTCCCTCGGCGTCCCTGTCCTCTCTTTCCTTTTGACCTCCTATCGGCGAGCCAACGCCGTTGGCAGACGGATCTTTTTCCTCCTCCGCTCGGGATTGCGGTTCAGACTCAGCTGCAATGGGCAGGTCATTTTGCGGGTCGTTGTTCTCGCTGACGCTTCGTCTATCGCCCAGTGGCCCTGCAGTCAAAATAGAGGCGATGGGATTTCCACTAAGTGATTGGGGCTTATGAGCGGGAGACTTTTCTTGAGCGCAGCTGCCAAGATCGTTCTCCTGAGCTTCACCACCTTGTCAGAACTGATCCAGCTTTCAGAGGCCTCAGGGCCGTCGGTTGGCTTCTCTGAGCCACTGAGGTTGAAGACCCTAGTGTTGTCGTCGACGTGCCGATCCTTGAGTCCGATATGCGCGCTCTCGACGGCCTGAGCAAGGCCCTCGTGGCTTTCAGAATTTCCTTGCATGTCAAGGAACAATGCCTTTCGCGGTCGGACAAGCTTGGAGAGTTCTCCGCGTCCGTTGTTTGCCAGACCCTGGGCGGGTCCCGCAGCTCAATCGAAGCGACAGAGAGAATCTGCTGGGCCTTGGCCTGTTCTTCATTTGATTCGTCAGACTCGTCGGGGGTTGGTCCTGTGTACGCATCCTCTCAAGGCTCGCTTCGATCTCTGCTCGTCAGCGAAGGATTATTACAAGTAACGTCGTCCCAATCCCAAAGGGACTGTATGATGTCGTCATCAATTGACGCAGGCGATTATAGAAAACGATCCGGCGAGAGTTCAAATGAGTGAATTGGCCCGAGCTTAGAGGTGAAAGGCAAGGTCAGGGGCGTAATTCCTGCGAAATCAGGAGTTAGGGAACTCGAAAGAGAAAAGGATGAAAAGCGTCTGGGGGAGCAGGCAGCCTTTTATAGACGTGAGAGGGGCGCAGTTCCTGCTTTCACCGCTAAGACCTGCAGCTCCGGTGGTTTTGGCAGGCTTATCGGCAGTCCAGCTTCGATCACTGCCGTCGGACACGTAGCGTGTTCTATACAGAGAAAGCTACAGGGCTTGAATAGCTTGGCAAGCCTGCCGCCGAAACTTATCGGATGTCTGCTTTTGCGCAGGCTGCAGATTTCGGTATTGAGCATCGAGGCTTGATATTCTTCGATACCAGTAGTCTCCTATTCGGAATGGTTTCGACGATTTCACGTGGGCGATCGCCTTTCCTATACCGCCCCGAATTTTGTCAAACAGGAAATATCTTTCTTCTTTATCAAGCCCAACATGTTGTCCCGGTCATGTTCCAAAGCGGGCTCCCGTGTCCAGTAACATTCGCCTCCCCTAGTGATCTCTTTTCGGCGTTCATCCGTCCAAGTCTTCCCGCTCGGAATGGTGCGTAGACCGTCGAACGTGGAACCCATGATATGGTTCGAGAATGCAGGAAACCAAAAACGGCGCATGCCGCTCCGTACGCATTCACCCTTCAATGTAACCTTTGAAATCCCGTGTTGTTCATCAGAGCACTTGGCCAAGTATGATCTCTGGGTGTAGGGTTCGAAAATGTTCGAAACGAATTCGTCTATCACATGATCGCATTCACTCGTGTCTGATTTTGCGCTCACCATAGATCAAGACAAGGTTTCCGCCATTTTCTCCTGGCGACCGCTCATGAACTGTCAAAGAGGATAGGTGCTTTCCCTCTCTCTTTCGTGACCTTTCTCACCGTGCGTAGTTGCGAAAGATCAGACTCCACAAGTCGACGACTGTTCTCCACTCCGGCATCAAGAAAAGCTGTGAAAGTAGAGATCTGCACGAGAGGCCGCCGACATACGAGAGAGAGCGTTGTTCCAGATTTCCTGTGGGAATCTGCGCAGGACACCTTCGGCTGCTAAAGTTTGAGGTTCATGGCGGAGCCACGAATCAAAAAATGCCAAATGAGGCTACATTTAGCAGCCAAGGCTTGGAAAAGCCATATGCGGGGGCTAATCTTAGACCTTCAGCAATATTGCCCTACTGAACCTGCCATGACAGGTCTTCCCTACGGAACCTGAGTTCGGGCATCAACTGGGATTTCCAAGCACAAAATCCTTGAACGGGGACCGGTGGCTAGAGACACCTTGATACCCCAAGGATTCGAAAGCCACCCTAGTGACATACCTCGGGGTCTAAGGAGCCTGGGGTCACTGCTAAATCAAGATGTCGTCCTGAATCCTATGGGCCTTGTAGACCTGGGGGTCTTGTTTCGGACGGGTCTTAGGGATGAGGGAGGTCTTGGGGCATTGATAGGCGAAACTTCCCTTACACTGGTCAGAGCCCCCGAGGTACGCAGTTCCCCTGCGCGCCACACGTCCTAGGGGTTTCAGCAAGCCTAGGGTTTCGTCTTACCTTGGTGCGATCAAATACCCTAGGGATTTACAACCTCGAGGTCGGGAAAGACCCTGGAGTATCGTATGGCCCTGGGTCACACCACAACAGACACCTTGAGATCTATGGAGTCCCTGTCTTGATGTTTATCCAGGTGAAGACTCTGTCGTCGCCTGGGGTAACTACATCAAACTGGGGCTCTTCTTTCGATTCCTGTAGCGTGTTAATGGCACCGAAGTGATATCAATTCAGAGGGTCACTGGGGGACGTCGTTGCTTACCGATATATGCAGCAAGAGTAGCTCAATATTTTAGCCTCTTATACACGTAGTAGTCCTTAGCCTAAAATTAGTAATTAAATATAGGACATTTCGGACTAGAGATTCACGTCCCTTGACAGAAGGTCTTCATATGCCAATAACCGGGCGAAGCGGTACGCATTGGAAAGTGGCCGGTAGTAGACTTGGCAAGTTGACGAGTGAAGAGGCTTTGTTAGGGGGCACCAGTAATTATGATGATTATATATATACGTTGTCAAAATCCCTACAACAGGGACTCATGGCGCAACGGTAGCGCGTTCGACTCCAGATCGAAAGGTTGTCTGTTCAAATCGTAGGTGAAATATTTCGTGAGGTCGAATTTATGACTAATAGATTAATAGAGGCTGGGTTCAAATCTGACTTAAATTTTTTTGCTTTGTGCGCTCTCTCATTATTACAGCTTAACGGGTCGGGAATTTTCATAATCTCACTTCAAGACGGGCACTGTCATGCCACAGGAGCTCAGGCTAGCCGAGGTCACGTGACACTAGATAATGTAGAATGGACTAAGGCTAAATACAGTCCCCCCCATCAGGCTAAATACAGCCCCTTCCCTGAATCTTCCTTGAAAGAAGTCCTGTAGAAGCGGAAAAACAATAAACAGTTAAGTAGCTCTTCCAAGTGGGGTTCCAAGGTTTAAAGTAGATTTTCAGTGTGCTTTTCAAAGGTGAATTTTGATAGATTTTCACGGGTTTTTGAAAGAAAACTTCGAAAGTTTAAGGGCAGCCCTAAAGGCTTTTTTGGGGGCCTTTCTAGGGGCTATTCCGGGTATTGTTCCGGGTATTATTCCGGATGTTACTTTGGGGGAGCTTTAAGGGTTGTTCTAGGGGCTACTTTAAGGGTTCCTCTAAGGGCCCTCCGGGGGCAATTCCCTAAACTTTAAGTCGGGGGCTGTATTTAGCTCGGAAGGGGGCTGCATTTAGCGGATGGGGGGCTGTATTTAGCCTTAGCCGTAGAATGCCATCGCTGATGGAAGGAGTTCCCTTCCCTCAGCGATCAGTCGATATCATTAGGTAGGTTATTCGATTCGTACACTACTCGCATACGTCCCGCATCACTCCGACACCTGAGTCTGATCCTCTCCTATCTTGAGTCCGGCAAAACCTATTAGGCTCGTAGTTTGAAACTACAACTCAGCTGTGATTTTCGTAAACAATACATTCCCCTGTGGATGGTATACCTCATCGATATCTAGGTGCGCTTTTTGGCTCCTTCAAACTTGGCAATAGTTGTTCTAGAAGAAGTCTTTGCAAAGTGATATTGTAACGACTGAAAAGCGTCACGAAGTTTCTCAACCTCTTTGGATAGATCGACCTAATGCTTTCGCTTATCGGGATAAATCTGCCAGATTGCCCGTACTTTTCTTTGCAAAAGAGACATATTGGTTCTCGTTCAACATAGAGAAGGTTTCCTGCTCCACCGGTCCACCTTGGAAAGATATCAACGTACTTGTTTCCTCCTCTAGAAGTTCTCGTGCGTTCCTTGCATCGGATACACTAGCTCTCTATAATAATGTCAGTGTCCTTGGTTTGTGTCAAGAATGGCCGTAGATCCACAGTTGACAGTCTGGCCTCGGTCTGCAATAGTTGCGAGCAAGACCCAGATTTGGCACTGAGGTAGGGTATATCTGGATCAACCGGCACTCCAAACCTCTGCGCACCGTTGCAAGTCTTTGAATGGCACCTTACCAATTTCATGTAATAGTAGTTTGGTCGGTTGGTTGCCCATCTTGGAGATTCATCCGTTGGAAACGGCTCTGCACACTTCTGACACTTGATGCTGACCTCAGATGCTTCAAGTCTCACAAAGAAGAGGTTTGGATAGTTCCCGCTTGTCGCCTGAAGCTGTTCCTGTTGTGCCAACATCAGCTTAAGGATGGCTTTCTTGTTTGACAGATTGCCATTTCCATGAACGTTTGACTTGAAGAGTGTCTGATCTAGCGCCTTTGAAATATCCTCTAACTCTATGATTTCGAAATTCGGGAATACCGACTGCTTGACGACCTCCAACCATTTCAGTACGTCTGCTGGTACATCCGAGAAGTGTTTCCATTCACTCTTGTCACTTCGTAGTGCCTGAATAGCTGAGGGAAGAACCTCATCCAGTAAGGTTTTGACGCTATGTGGGCACTCGCTGAATGTGAGAACAGGACGCAAGAGAGAGGACGACCGTTTCGTCGGCTCAGGTCCCGTGGTACTGGTTGAAAGTGACAGATCTTGCAGAGAAGTCATTTCATCCAACGGAATGTCCGTGTTGATTTGTGCAAACGACTTCAATGTCGTCACATTGTTGGATAGCCATTTCTTCTTGCTGTAATATTTCTCGATTACGGGTACGGCGCCTGGTACCATTTCCGTGGCAATGCCAATTATTTTGTCTTGCATTTGTGCGATTGGACTGTCTTGCGGCTCGTAGAACAAACGTTGAGGATGACTAGCAAACAGCCCAATTCGGCGAATTTTGTGACCTGGCTCAGCGTTGCTAAAGCTTTTCTCGTGGAACAGGACGAGAAAGACACCGTCTGCTCGATCCCAGGGAGGGAATATGGTGTGCTCGATTTGCATGTGGCGTAATACTCTTTCTTGCACCGTCTGCCCGTAGATAATGACTACCGGGCTTGTCATAGATTCATAGATCTGTCGCGTGAAACCTTCGTGGCATTGCAAGATCTCGTGGGGGTAGGTTTTCACTCCATCTGACTTCTTGGAGCGTCGGTGGAGATGATCAAATATCAGAGTTTCTCCCTGCTTGTACCCGTTGTTCATTATCATCCTGATGCAGCCATTGCTACTATCTGCGGTTGCTCCGTCTTTCAGCTTGGTTGTCGTCATAGAGGGTTGATGCAGATGATGGGCAAGAAGGCTGTCGAGCATGCCCGAAGGTTGGACGAAGTATTCGCTGGCACCAGGCTGTCGGCAAATGTCTGTCCAAGTTCGCACCTCAAGAGTTTGAAATTCTTTGAATGCCTGGTTCAAATCAACTATTGGCTTCTGGATGGTTAAGAAATCACGGTCGTTGAAATTCTTGAATGCTTGTTCCCAATCCAATGCTAGATCTCGTAATGCCTCAGGTAATTCGAGATTGGAAGGATGCGGTAGAGCAAAATCGCCAAAGATTTAATATTCCTTGACTGACTTCAGCGTCCTAGAGGTTGACACTGAAAGTCTTAATTTATTATCAACTTGCTGGTATCTCGGGCGTTTCAAGGGAGGAAACGAAGCTTCGATCGACAATGCCTCCTTTGGTTCATTGCTTTCCTAGTTCTTTCGCTTCTCTGCCGGTATCGAGAAGGGATCTGTAGCTTGCTGGGATGGAGGAAATGACGTTCCGTCCTCCGCTTCATTGACGGACTGTTGCAATGTGGCAATAGGCTGGGAAGGATGTCTAGCTAATGGGGGCCCTCAGGGCCCCATATATGGCCAAAACAGACAAAGAACGGCTAGCAACAGGCTTCTGGAATCGCATAGAAAGCAATCAAGTAACGGATTGCAACACGGACGTGTCGAGGAATGCTTGCTTGGAAGGTAAATTGTATTGTCGTGAAGGTCGTACTCGCCCTGAGGGCACAATTAGCAGCGTTCATCGCACGATTTTTCTGCACCTGCCTTTGGCGAATTCACAATAAGATCTTGAATAATAACAATTTGCACATTTGTTTGTCAGCTGCCCTGGCAAAACAACACATTCTGTGAAGGGCTCTCCTACCATACAGGTAGCGCATGATTTCGACCTCGGCTGGCCACGCTTCTGTGAAAGCGCAGCAACCTTTCCCGTTACCTTGTTAAGGGCAAGACTGATCCCAGGTCGCAATTGTATGTCTCTTCGGATTTCCAATCGTCGAATGTCCACTGTGAGTGTTGCGCCCGTTGAGATGGCCGTCTTTTCGACCCACTCCTGCAGATCTTCGGATGGCTTCAAGGCGGAAGGCCCTGACATGGCTCTACAACTCAAATGGCGTAGGCTATACTCGTATTGACCCCCTACTCGGCAGTACCCTCTACTCGGCAGACGCTAAGCCTAATTAGGCCAACCATCTTAAAAAAAAGCAATGTACTCATGCAATTGCCACTACTCAAGGGCATCACATAACCAGACGGCCCAATTGGAGCTCTACAACACTATCGGAGGCAGTAGACTAGTAGTAGAAGAAGGGCTCGTATCCGGAATAACCATAGCTCATGTTGAGGATGATCTTATAAGCTTTACAGAATTCGATAGCTTTATTCGTAATATATGATTAATAGCCGTCGAATATAAGCATTCTGTATTTATTGTTTAAGCCTTCTCGCTTCGTAAACTGGTAGAAGTACTCTGGCAGGGTCTCAGTAATGATGAAATATGCAACGCGGAAAGCAATCACAATGAACGATTTATTAGGGTTGAATGAGTTGTTGATTCTTTCTAGCTACTGAGCGGAAGAAATACATAAGGCAAGCGCAAGCGCTTACTAATCCAGTAACCATAACAGTTGCCCCCGCCGAAAGATGCCGTTCGCCCACGAGGCATCAAGAAGCTAGAAGAAGCTAGAAAAAGCTCTATACATCAAGAGGATCGTATTACCAGGTCGAGATTCTATACGAGCCGACTATCATCCGGGGCCGCTATTATAAAGAAAAGTAGGCGATATCATTCAGGGTCGCCGTTATTAGGAATGAAAACTCGATAGGTAGAGTATTAGTACCGTGCCTTTTCTCAGGAATAAAAACATCGATAGGTAGAGTATTAGTACTATACCTTTTTTCAGCTATGCTTATTCGGTAATATATAGCTCCGCTCAAGTATTAAGCTCGATATCACCGTCTTCTACCAGCTTCCCGAAGTTCTCTAAAGGAGCTTGTCTCTAGCTCTTAAATAAACTATTATAGAAGGTAACACGCGATATAGTAGGGAAAGCATCGGTAAAAAGAATAATAGCGTCGTTGACACGTTTAGCGATACTATTATAGTATACCCGATTATCTATAAGCTCGTCTATTTCATTCTTTACAGCTTTAAAAGTGCCCTAGACCTTTAAAGTTTATATAGGAACCTTCGTCTATAGTATAAATAACTTCTAGTATATAATAATCCTACTCTACTTGAATATACGTCTAGTATAGCTGTTAAATACCTTATAAAATCCTTCAAGCAGCTACGCTATAGCTACTATCTTTCCTTCCGCAATATATAAGTTCTTCTTAAGGTTTTTATTATCTAGAGTTAGGGTAGTAATAAGCTTATCCTTTATATTATTATCTAGTAGTAGCTCCTCTTTATCTTCATCGCTATTAATAAGAATTATATTCAGCTTCTACTTTACGGGTA